GGAGCAGCCGCGTGTGGGTCTGAGGAAGCACAGAAGGAAACGCTGGGAGGAAAGCAAGAGGATGGCGGGAAACGATAAAGGCAGCGGGTAAAGGCAAGAGACGTTGCCGATTCAGATTTAGGGATAGGATAGCAATCTGCATGAGAGAAGGGCGCCCGGGGGGACGGGAAGGAAAGGGACGGACCAACCGAGAGGCGGAGGGCGGGCGGGCAAGTGGACAGTACTCTGGCAAAGAACAGGGCAGTGGTCAAGTGCCTGTTTGAGTTGGAAGATCGTAGATCCTGGGAGTTGAAAGACATTTAGGGCTCATCAATGCTACATCCCACACAATGAAAAACAAACAAACATCTCCAACAAGGTTAATGAGCTCCTCCCAAAAGCTTATTCGTTCAATTCCAACATGACAATGTGCCCTCCATTGTGCCAGGCATGTTGGTGAAGCTCTAGAGAGAGAGAGAGAGAGAGAGAGAGAGAGAGAGAGACTATGGCCTTGCACCTATTGTTGCCATTAAAATAGCTTTCAAGCCCTGGCCGGTTTGGCTCAGTGGATAGAGCCTCAGCTGCAGACTGAAGGGTCCTGGGTTTGAGAAAGCACAGAAGGAAACGCTGGAAGGAAAGCAAGAGGATGCTTGGGAGGCGGGGAACAATAAAGGATTGTTCGATTCCCGGTCAGGGCACATGCCTGGGTTGCGGGCTCGATCGCCAGTGGGGGGCGTGCAGGAGGCAGCCAATCAATGGTTCTCTCTCATCATTGATGTTTCTCCCTCTCCCTCTCCTTTCCTCTCTGAAATCAATAAAAAAAATATATTTTTAAAAAGTTTTCAATATGCAAGTTCCATGCCCTAGAGTAGTGATGGCGAACCTATGACACGCGTGTCAGAGGTGACACGCGAACTCATTTTGGGTGACACGCATCGACAGAGACAAAAAAAATGCATAATTCAAATATTTGTCTCTCGCAACGGCCAGAGTTGGGCATCACTCGAGTAATATTATTACTCACGTTACTCATGATCAATAATGCAATTCTAAAACCGATGTAAACATGTACATCGGTGTTGTGTAGCAAAGATACATAGTGAAAACATCCAAGATACATTGTTCCAATATTGACATTAATATAAAAAGGTTAAGAATTGCACTATAAAGAGATTAATCTTTACTCATGACATTTTATTTTTACTCGAGTGACAAAATGCCCAATTCTGGAAACGGCCTCATTATTGTCAACATGTGCCTCGGGTAAGCTTCCCGTGCGTTCGGGTGCATTCGGCAAACGGACCCACTTGATCACCATGTTCGTTAGGAGACAGGAGTGGGAGGGTTAGAAGAAAAAG